ACTACCTGATCATAATATTTGTTGATGTACTTGTAGAGCTCATGGAGAGCCACAAGATTGTTCATTTCTGATGCAAAACTCTGGAGGTAGACAGGCAAAGACAGTTTTAACATCAGTTTTTCTTACAGCTAAATTTCAGTATTTCAGGCTCTGTTCAGTCTGTGTTTACTGACCCCAGAAAGTTCCGTCAGAGTGGAATTCATCTCTTGATAACAGCCTGACGCAGCACTGTGGATGTCACTGTAATACCTGAGCGCATACACAGAAGGTTATCAGTACTGCGGCTCTCGGGCTCAAAGAATCATCAGCTAAATTAGATCTTATCTTCCCCACAGCATAAAAACAGTCTCTCTGTAGTGCATTATGAGTTAAACAATGGGGACAAGAAGCTGTCTCACCTTTCCACCAGCTGTTTGTATCTGGGGATCTCTCTGGCGTACAGCAGCTTGTTTACAGGCGAGTCCTGATTGGAGAAAAAGTAACCATGAAGCCTAGAAAACAAAACCAAAAAACCAAAACCAATACATGGCTGAACAAGAGACAGAATTTTTACCCGTCCCACTTTGTGCTCAGAGGTGGTGCAAGAGTCTATGAAGGTCTGAGCGATGACAGACAGAACAGCGTCGATGCTGTCGGTCACCTGAACGTCCAGAACGAACTGAGGGTTCTTCAGGATGTTGACCCAGAACCTAAGAGGGAGACTGGAGGGAGAAAGACATGGGTCAGAGAGAGGGAAAGGGGTGAGAGGGTTGTGGGAGTTGGAAATCTCGATCGGATAACCAGATGTGTGCCTCACCTGTTGGTCTTCCAGATGTGGACAGTTTCTGGGTCGTCAATTCCATGTTTCTCAGCCATGTCGTCCAAAAAGTCGAAGAAAAACCTCACGGCGATCGGAGGAGGACGCTTTGTACTGAGTATCGCCACAAACACGTCATCCACAAACTTTTGCAATGTCCCCTAGTGAGAGACAGAAAAGTAAAGCTGAAGGACAGATAGCCAGGCGGTCAGTTCTCTGGTGTGTATCTGTTTGTACTTATCACATGGCAAGGACAGCTACCTGACAGAATGGAGACCAAATAAACGAGTCTGCACAAAAATAACCTTAAATTTAACAGGTATACCTGTAAAGGTTTTAGTGTTTATCCCACACACCCCTCAGACCAAGAGTTTGTCTGTGGAGGTGTGTGGTGGAGAGTTAACTCTTTACCGCCCCCTAGTGGTAAAAGATGGTATGGCAACAACACACACACACTAATATCAGAACACACACACACACATCTATTTTGCGCATATCTCCACCATGTGAAATTAATTTGCTGTTTAACCTCCAGAATCAATGGTGCCCACAATGTCTGACGTCCCCACAATGCCTAAAGGTAAGGATATGTGTGTTACCTTCATGGACAGCAGCCTGGTCAGGTAAATCTCTGGGATGGCCTTGGCTCTCTCCCTCTCCCTCATACTGCTCTTTCTGTGTTTTGGGATTTCAGGATCTTCACTGCTCTTCACCAGGTGCCATAGACGGAGACCCTCCTCCTCCTCACCCTCCAGCATTGGCGTTTCTGCAGCCACCATAAAGAGACGGTCAGCCACCATGTTTTGGTGTAATACTTTTACACAGAGTTTTATTTTTCCTCTTTTTTGTGCTACATTAATTTTAATCTCTGGGAGTATTAGATTTTAGGGTTTTACATTATATTTTTAATATTGAGATATTCTGTTAAGATGTGTTTCTTACTCTCTCCAGTTTGGAAGACCTGGTTGACTCCCACTCCACCTGAACTTTGAGAACGAGGGATGAGAGCGACTGTGGCGCCGTCGGGAACCTGAAGAACCAAAGAGCAGAGTGAACAAGGAGATGGACAACTGGAAGGAGGAGCAGAGAAGGTGGTGGTGGTGGAACACGATTGGCCAGTTGTTTTCACCTTATAGTGCTGCAGTGTGTTGAGTCGTTTCCAACGACCTTGAACCACTGCTGTGACATCATCATCCGACAAGGTCAGATGACCTGCTTGGCCTGAACGCCACTCTATTGACAAAGAAACAGGTACATATGAGCTGCCAGTCTGGATCTACGGATATGATGACACTATGCATTCTCAGATCCACTAACCGAATACTTAAAACACCCACTAATGCTTCGGCCAATTTAATCTACTTTCAGCCATCTCATACAACAGATAGGTGAGACAGGTGTTTACCGAGGTCAAGACTGTCAGCTGATGGTCTCTGAGAGAATGGAGCTCCTCTGTAGACCTGATCCAGAATCTTATCTTTCACCTGAACACAAGCAGACAGCAAAGTGACAAAGGTATTTAGAAATCCCAGTGGAATTAAGAATATAGACGACTACTTCTATGAATCTGAAATTAAATGCTGCAGTGAAATTTTGTATTGTAGTGCAACAGAAAGAACATGCCACCAGAGGGCACTTTTTATCGATGGATCGATGTAGCTGAGCTCAGTGAGCTGTGAAAAATAGCGAGACTGGGAGGGGCTTACATTGCAGGTCATATGACTGTTGGGTTTTTCTCTGTATGTATTATTGTAGGGTCTACCTTACAACATAAAGCGCCTTAAGGCGACTGTTGTTGTGATTTGGTGCTGTATAAATAAAACTGAATTGAATTGAAATCATGCCAAGCAAGGTTTATTCAGCTACCGTAATCAAATATATATTTGTAGCCACAATAACTATCACCATCACATATCACTGGTTATATTTGGTTATATGCAGTATAACCAAAAGGTGTGAAGGCATTAAAAATAGACACCGCCCTACCGTACAAACAAGCATGTACCTGTGTGATCGTGTCGGTGTCGAGCACTTTAACAGGACATGGCTGAACTTCGACTCCGTTTTTCACCAGCACTGTCAGAGTCTGAGAGAAAGAGATGACTTGTCATAAATGAATCAGTGATTCAGCTGCAGATCAGTGTGATGTCTGTTACTCTGGTTACCACTGAGCAATATTCAATGTCCTCCCGCAGCAGGTGACTGTCATTGAGCGTTCGTTTGGCTTTTCCCGTCACAGCATCCACCGGCCCTTTGTCCACCTGATACTTTATGGCTCTGTAGAGCATGTAGAGAGGCTCTCCCGCCACCTCCTGATAGACAAAAAGAGCAGCGACCGGGTGGCCAACATTATGCATGGTAGTTTTATACCCAACACTGAGACAATCTCATGTTTTTTGATTGGTTCTAATTCACAACACTCAAAAAGAAATGTATCAATCTCTGGATACACTCTGCTGAAATGTGAATTAACAATTATGGCAAAAGAAAAATGGACTACACCTCAATGATTCTACTGGGATGTGGTCAGGGACCTGGTGAGATGGGACAGGCAGTGGGACAGAGCCAGAGAGACACTTACCTTCAGGAAGGAATAGAGGCAGATGGACATCCAGTTGGTCAACATCTTCTCAACGACCGTCTCTGTTCTGAAAGACAAACAGGCAAGCCAAGACATCAGCAGGACAGACACCTTTAAACCTGAAAAGACTTCCTGTTGAGTTCTAATGTGACTGAAGTTGCTTTTGCTTTGCGTACCGGCGCAGCATGAGTTTGGGGTTCTTGGCAACATACTGCTGCACCAGGTCCTGCAGCAGGCTCTTCATGACTTCAGTGAAGTATTCCAGTTTGTCGTGCAGAGCCATGGTGAGCAGGCTGGCCACGTAGCCACGATCTCGCTGGGAGAAACCCTGCTGGGCCTCCAAAGTGTGGATGAACTGAGACACACACACACAGAGGCATATAGAAAAAATGTCACCTATGAGTCTTAGACGTCATATGACCATTCTCCTGCCTCCTCCCACTATCTCCACTCACCCTGGTGAGGAAGAGTCTGTTATTGAGCAGGTTGTTGAGCTGCTGCAGGCCCTGCTCCACAGTCTGCCTCCTCGACTCAGGCAGATCTAGCTGACGACTCAGTGGCGCCGTCTGCTGGCCAGGGAAGAAAACTCTCTCTGCATATATCCTGTAGTCCAAGAGGGGGACTCCTGGTCCTCCCACATCACTGCTCAGATCCATCATCTCTGTCATCAGGTCTGAAGGACAAGAGGTATACGAGGAGCAAATGGCAGCTTGAGATTTCAAAAACGTAAAGAGTTTAAATTTAAATGTATCCAATCAAACACAGAGGGCTCAGTAAATCTTTAAAGTTTTAACATTTTTGGGCAGATCTGCCATCAGGAAATCCAGATGAATAAGAAGTCCAACACAATACGAAGGTCTGCAGTTTATTTACAATGTGTTTTCATACCAGTGAACTCTTTGCGGCACTGATCTCCCACGTTGATCTCCAGAGTTTCTAACTGCAGTAAAACCTTTTTATAATCTCGGAGAGCTTGTTTACTTTTCCTCCTGCACAAAGCAAAAAACAACAAAACAAAAACACTGAAGATTAATGATGAGATGAAGAATATTCTCATAAAAACATTGAGTCGACTTTTAAAATGTCACTGCAGACAAAAATGAAGTGATTGTCCTTTTTGTTTTTTAAGCACAAAAATACAAATAAAGGCGTTTGAGAGGAAACAAAATCCAAAACAAGACGTCACAACAGCAGAGAAAAGTCGCCTAAAAACACACCTGGTTTCACACACAGGTGGATACTTACCTGTACATGAGGATGATGACCAACACTGACAGGATGATGACAGCTGCTCCTGCCCCCAAACCGATCTGAGCAGCCAATGGGACAGCAGGCAGCAGAGAGTTGCTGTCGTACTGAACCAATCCCAGGTCCACTTGCAGGTTTCCCATGAAAACCTAACAGAAGACATGCAGACAGAGAGTGAAAAAGGCTGAGTGTGAGAATGAGTAAACCACTGGCCCTTGTATACCAACCGAGCTGGAAAATCCCTAAAAAGCATCTCTGCCTTGGATATGAATCCCTGTAAAAGCCAACAGCTCAAAACCAAAGATCACCTTGAGGCTAGGAAGTTCATGGCTGTCATCCACACTGAGTGGTTGGACCTCTGGAGGGTCACAGTACAGGTGAGTACTGTCCAAAGTTTTCACGTCACACTCCTGATCTCCAAGCCAAGCCTTCACTTCCTCTTTGGACATGGCTCTGGTCAGGTCCTGGCCCTGACGGACGAAAAGAGACAGAAACGGAGGTTAAATCTGAATTTATTCCGTCTGCATGGCTCAGGATTCACGTACGACAGTTGCTGTACCTCCACAGCGATCACTCCTCCAGGTTTGAAACGGAACGGCACATCTAGATTTTCTCGGTTGATTGGAAATAAAACTGGGTTTGGATAGTAAGTGAAGCTTTTACCCTGGAAGACAGACAAGCAGAGAGACAAAAAGGTTTTCCATCAAGCATTAGAAGTGGAAAATTGTTCAGTAAGGCTTCATTCACACTGGATTTCTGTCTGTCAGGCAGGTTTCAAAGCACGTATGCCTCGTTTTTCAGCCTCGGGAATAATTCCAGTTAAAATCTGCTTTTTTTTAATCTCCTTTTATTTAAAACCCTTTCAGTCCCTTCCTTTTCTTTTAAGTAAATTGCTATTCAAATCCCTCTAGAGCCTCATCCTTTATTTTCAATCATCTGCATCCTTTTTTTATGCTTTTATATTTGACTATGTGAAATTTAACGAAGTGGAAATTTTTGTGCGGCTCTGCTAGACGTTAGGGAAGCAACGTGACAACATATGCCCCATTTGTTCATATTAATGCGTCACACTGTGTTTAAAGTGAAGTAAAAAATTAGGCTTTGATAAAGAAATGCATGTGTGCCGCTTCACTCCTAATTCCAATAAATCCATACAGCAGCCCAGTATCACCCCTTAAAAAGTATTTGAACTGACAAAATTCAGATTTTGGAGATTTAATCTGCTCCTATGAAAGCAGCAGAACTGACTCTGAGCAGCTCCTGTTCGCAGTGCATCGTGGATGTACGATCAAACGTCACAGGACCAGACGCTGAAGAAAACTGGACGAGTGAAGGAAGTCATCAAGGATGTATTCTCACTATAATCCACCCTGGTGTTTGACCCTTTTAATCATGGGAGGTACCTTGATGCTCTCATAGTGGACTCTGACGTTATCAAGCTGAAACCAGACACCCTTAACTTTGACCTCTGGGTTCACTCTGGGGGTCGGGCAAGTCATCTGAGAGGACGACAGGATGGAGCAGCGCTCTGATACCTGAGAGGCAGACGGGGAGGTAAAACAGGCGTGAGACAGGCTAAGAATTTTAAAAGCTCGTCTCCGATTGGTCCGTTTGTCTTACCGTTGTCATGGTGCTGTTAAAGACGAGCTGCTGCTTGGAGGTGAGAAGAGCCAGTCGTTTCTTCCGTTTCACCCTTTGTACCTCTAGAGGCTCCACCCACACAGATATGATTGGCTGCTGCACCACATCCAGGTTCCTGCCCTCCACTCGTATGACACGCCCACCCCTAAAACGGTCAACAGCTAATTAGCAGGTGTGCGTGTGTGTGAGGATCGAGTGCAGGTGTAAGGCGACTGGCGCTTACGCGTAGAAGCTCTCGGCAGGTATGGCGCTGGTGATGACGGGGTCTTCGAGGTAATGGAAGGTAACGTTTGGAATAGTCCGCTCGGCTTTACCAAACAGAACCCGAACTGGGACGAGACCCGTCCGATTGCTGGAACCAGTCTGACACACCAGCTGCGTGTCATTCACCTCTTCAACTCTGAGAACAGGCGAGGAGACAGACAGTCAGGCAAGTAGTAGTATTGGTGCTGCAGTACCAGAAGCCGTGGCGTTGTACTTACATGTAGCAGGGCTGGGTGCCCAGGAAGGCGCTCAGGTCAGACGTCTGCCCGGTGAGCAGCTGTCGTCCTTTGATGGTCAGCCTGGTTCCTCCGGAGACGGGACCTTTATTAGGAATGAGATCCTGCAGCAGGGGATCCTGAACCACAACATGTTAGACATCAGATATACCTTTATACTGGTGACCAGATACCACGTAACACTGGGCTACTCAGTCTTACCTGATAGGTGAACATCTTTGTTGACCTCCCACGAGTTGTTCCCACAGTAACCAAGATGGGCCCTTCTTTCTGCTTCCCACTAGGCTGCAGCTCACACACAACCCTGATGCACACACACAAACACACACAGAAAAAGCAAACATGAGCTTGTGTGTCTCCATGCAGAGGAGGACAGCTACACCGACTGTGGAAGATTCCTATTGGTGGAACAACACTGGGAAAAAAACAACTTTTGTTTATTCCTTTGAGCTCTGAGTCACCATAACCACATCCCAACTGTTCTGACGTGTGTCACTTACGTGTGTGTTTATCTATTTATCCAGTGACTGTTTTGGAAAGTCAATTTTCAAGGTCAAAATCACATATTCTGATAACATAGCCCTGCTATAAGACACACTCGACTCGCTGCAGTCTTTCTACACCTACACGACAGATGTCACACCTCAGAACCTGATTGGTTCCACACTGGAATAGAAATGGAAAAAGTCAACTCAGGAACCAAAGTAACCATCCTCAGAACTTTCTAGATTTTTAAACTGCTGTAGCAGTCTCATCCTCACTCTTTTTACTTTTTAAAACATTTTCTTTCTGATTAAGATAATAGTTAGGGCTGGATCAGGTGACCCAGAAGTACCTGTGCGACAACCGTATAATAAGCAAGCCTGGTTAAACCCTGTGAATCTCATTTATCAAATGCACTGGAGCATCCTTCATGGAAGCAAAGGAGATGATGATAACCCACAACTCAACGAGTGCACCATAAGACTATTAATGAAAGCAAAGATAAAATATCTGACACAATGATGGAGGCCAGCGTGTAAATTACAGCTGCGGCTTCCATCTTTTACAATAATGCATATGCTTTGAACTTATAATAGCCTTTTATTAAAATCTGCGTGTTATCTGTAATGTAGATTTAGAAATATAATAAGCTTAATTAAAATGATCAAAGTGAAGCGAGGGTTACAGTGTTACACTGGCTATGTTCTCATTTGGGATATTTCGGGATTAGCATCAATTAATTCTATTTCAGAGATGCTAAAAGCCTTAATATGGTTAGGAGATGTTAGATTTAACAATATTTCTTAATACCAGCATTTTATTTCACCAGCATTGATGTTACATTATATTGTTCATAGTTATAAAGCCTCCATAAAACATCAAGCTAAGAACACATGTTTTTGTAGTCGCTCTACTAAAATTGTAGTTTTATCACAGAAGACCAGCGTCAACAGAATTCACTGTCACAAGCTTTTGCATCTTTTCTTGACCTTGTGACATTTTCCATGAAGGTCAAATAAGATGTGACCCAGTTCTTTTTTTCCCCTTGTTATTTAGCCTCGTTCCAACCTCGAGGAAGCGTTAACGTGTTTGTCTTTACTTGGTAACATCAAGCTGAAGTTGAGATAACAACATAAAACTAAACTGATAAAGTTTTAAACTTTGGAGCAGGTCCCAAAGTTCCTAAAGATACGAAATCCCCGAGGCTGAGTTGGTGAAAGTATTCTAAAATTAAACAAAGTCATGCGGAAGATTTCAATCTGATAGCTTATTCAAATAAAGCACGGAGGCTAAATCAGAATGGAGATTTTGCTCCCGAGGGAGTGAGTTCAAACAGAATCAGTTCTGAAGAGAAAAAGGCTTCGCTCCATAAAAGCTTGTGTTTGAATTTTCTCCCTGTGTGAGCATCAGATAGATTTGTCTCCTGTTAAAGGTTCTCCCTGATCTAAATCGAGGCTCTGAGGATGGGAGGCGTTATGCGCTGTACAGGTTGTAGAGCTCCTTAGGGCAATAAAGAAAAGTGACTCAACGGGCTGCTAGTGTCACACAGACAGGAATAAGAATATTTGACTATGTTAGAGCTGCTGAAAGGAAATGAGAGAGGACACGTTAGAGTGGCATCCTTGGAGGATTTCACCTGATTCTAGACTTTTTCTGTTTCGAGGTGTTCACTGAAGACTGTTTCAGCGCTTTAATATGAGACATATGAGCTCAATCGAGCACTGAAGCATGGCTGGAAGTGTTTCTGATTTTATTATGATGTCGAAAAGGTGACCTGTTACTGTTTGGATTTAATAGGTCATTTCACGTGTCAGAAGTCAGTACACAGCTTTGTGATCACATCCACAGTACGAAATAAAATCGTAAAAATGCAGAAGTGTCTTAAACCTGCATGGTTTCTAATGGCCAGCAGGGGGCGACTCCTCTGCTGCTAAAAGGAGCCTCAGTTTCTCCATCAGATCACACATATGGTTTAAAAACACCAAGATGGCGACAGCATAAAGACTCACTTGAGGCTTCTTAATAGGACTTCACTAACCAGTGGGTGATGTCACGGCTGCTACGTCAGTCTACAAGTGGGTGTCTGTGGTTTTACACCATTCAGAAGAATATTGTTGGATTGAAAACTTCTGGACTATCATCATCAAGACATCGAGAATCCCAGTTATTGATATGTTATTGTGCTGAACTGGTGACTGCCAGGTTTGTTACAGAGCAGACAGAAAGGGAGGTCTCATCACATCTCTCTGTGATTCAGTTATGTGCTGAACGTTTGCATAAATGAATCCCGTAAACACTAATGTAATCATCATGTTACCTGGTGGAGATCTTGTAACCTTTAGACTGAGGCAGGCATTGAATACCCGCCACAGTGACTCCGCCCACCACATCCTCATACTTCATGCCCAGGTTCGATCCTGTGATCGTCACCAGAATGCCGCCCTCTAGAGGACCGGAGGCAGGCTCCACCTGCAGACAGACAGGTAGAAACAGTTTGAACGAGCTCTGCAGACACACAGACTGATCTTCTGATCATTATAAAAGGACGAGAGACGGAAATCTGCGGGAGAATTGTAGGAGCACAAAGATGGCAGCTGTCCTGCCCCCAAATAGCCAATAACCACCTTTGAAGCTGCTTTTATTGGATGTGACTGATGATTCTGTACATGCAGATTCTAGGTCCCAGTGACCACAGAAATTAAAGTTTGATCCAGTATGGTGCACAGTTGCGGGACTTCCTCTACATGGACTTTGACGAGACCCACCTTTGTGATCTGAGGAGGCGGGCAGGTGTCTGCAGGTTTACTGGAGCAGGTTTGGCTGTACACACAGCTCGGGGCTGGGCTTCCAGGACACCATACACAGCCGTACTCTTTAGGCACCGCCCTGCACTGTGAGCAATCTGATTGGCCAGCTGAGCAGTCATACAGCTGGACTGTATATTAATAAGAAAAGGAGACAAATATCATGAATGCATTTCTCTTTCTGTCTTTGTGAAAACATTAACCCCCATCCTCACCCACATGCTGACTTTGGTCAAACACAGTGGGCCTCATCACTGTGTGAATGCATGAGTCTGTGTGAGTGAGTGTTTTTCACTCAGACTCAGACTGCATGCACAGTTATAGAATGACACACAGCTGTCCTAGAAAATGTTAATGCAGATATTTAAACTGAATAATACTAGTAGTGATATTAATACCAGAAACAATATCAAAAATAGTTAAATCTATAGTTGCTCGTTTCTAATTCTAATAAGCAATTGATCTTTTATACTATATAAAAAAGATCCAAAGACTTAATAAAGATAATATCTGAGTTTCAAATGTTTAAATTAGAATTATTAAAATGCTTTAACATTTAAAACCATTCATTTTCTAATGCTTTGGTATTAGAGCTGTATGAAATAACCATGAAATTGATGTCCTTTCATCCTTACTGCTGAACCTTCATTTCTTGGCAATATTCCACATATGGTTTCAGTAACTGCAGCGAGGCTTTTGTCGTAGGTTGGAGCTTTCCCTTTCCCTGCTTCCTCTTCCCCTGGTCTGTGTTTATTTTATGTATCACATACAGTTCAGGATTCAGGGGACACAACACTCTGATTCACTAGTAAAAACAGTAGAAACTTGTCATGAATCCAAGTGTAATTTCATGTGTGTACTTATTTTTTGTGTAAATATTAGTAAAGGAGGCCCACGCCCTCAGTGTGCACTACATCTGCACACAGGTAAGGCTCTTACGTCGGAGTCCAGGTGAGGCATCAATGCGTCGTTCCCCTCTCCGCAGGTAGACAGGAGCAGAATACTGAAGTTGACTGACTGGATGTTGAAACTACAGACAGTGGGACAGGTGGACAGACAGAAATTTAAATATCAGCTGTGTGGTTACTGCCATTAACTAATTATCTGTTTGCGTGCGTCGCTTACTTGATGCTGCGTGCAGGTGAAGGTGTGCGTGTTGTCGTGCATTTTCTCCACAGAAGCTGTCAGATTAGTCCGGGATCCTTCGATTTCAACAACACACACATACGGAGCTTCATCCTGCAGAGAGACCACACACAGACACTCAGCTGTTTGATTTTAGTGATTCAGGTCAATAGAACAGACCAACGCCCGAAGGCTGGTACCACGAAAATAGTTCAACATACCCGGGATACCTTTGCCTTATCTGGTTACATTTCATCTAAACGGCCAATCTCTTTAAAGTAGGTACCAGACAAAGCCTGGGGGCTAGAATCAGCCAGCCACTGATTCCAGTCTTTGAAAATGTGAAGGAGGGTGTATAATCTAGACTTTTAACTGTGTTTTTAGAGCTTGTACTACTGATAAAAACCTCCCCCACGCCTATTCATACTACACGAAAGTAAATACGATATATATAAACAATTAAATAACAGAACATTTCCGTTTTTTCACTACTACAGGAATTCATGATTTTTACAGTGAGTCCACAGGAAAAACATGAAAAAAGAAAAAACAATCTGTGCACTGAGCTAACAAAAGTTTTACACATTCATTTCTTACAATTTAAGCCAAAAGTATCATTATTGTATCACACAGACAAACTGAGATGTATTGTTGAATTTGCACTTTTTTGTTGTATTAAAGCGTCTCAGGAGTTAAGTGTGTGGTTAAACTGTGCGGTTTCTCTGATTCGGTCCACGATCACAGTGGGCTGTATGTGGCTCATGATGTAAAATGAATTTGAGATCCCTGCTATACTCTCTCACTATCTGCACACAGAGGTTCACAGGATTTTGCTGCGTTGGAATGATTGGTCAGTAGGCGGTGGTTTTGCACATGTTGATCTTGTTTCTTGTTAAGAAGAGTAAACCAAGGTTAACCCTAAATAAATTCACCCGAAAGTCCCAAATCATAAATTGCAGCACACGCTTACGTTTTATTAGCAGACTGATGGATGAACATAATGTAGGAGGTCGTTTATTTTAATTGAAAGCAATACTTTTTAAGTGCATATTATCACAGTAACATGATGGAGCTGCAGCTGCTTTCAGGATTAGTTCAAAGCTGAATTTTTATCTGATGTTGGAGGTTTTTTGATGACAACAGCTCTGAAGATGAAGAAGTAACTGAGGCTGCTGATGAGGATTCTGTGCCTTTTACTATTTACATTCAGAGTTATTGCAGTTCTTTTCTAGGAGTCTTTATTTTGTACAAACGGTGGTGTACCGCAGGGTTCTGTAAGACGGCTTGTGGCTTCATAAATGTCAATTTACATAAGAATGAAATTAATTCATCCATCCAGCAGCAGCAACCTGATAATTAGCTCAGACTAAAACACTGAAAATGAATTTATGATTCTCTCAGCTGCCTCGAACTCGCTGCTGTTAACAAACAAGCAGATATCGAGTAAAAATTTCCTTTTTGTGGAGCCAGAAGACCCGACGCACTCCTGGAAACACCTGCCTACAGCTGCTGCAGACACAGATGTAGAAGCACGATGAGGAGCCAAGGCTTACGGAAACTAACAGAGGCTCCTACACTCTTCAGTCTCTGAGCGTTTCTTCTTCACTCACCTCTCTACGTGTTCATTCACCACTTTGCATTTAATTGTTAGTTATGATTAATCTCTGGCTCTTTTCCACAGTCTGGTTCTGCTGGAGGTTTCATCCCGCTAAAAAGGAGGTTTTCTGTCCCACTGTCACCAAGTACTTACTCATAGGGGTCATCTGATTGTTCGGGTTTTCTCTGTAATATTGTAGGATCTTTATCTTACAATATAAAGCACCTTAAGGAAGACTGTCTAAATTGAACAGCATCAGATCGGCTTCGTGTTTATGTGCACGCCACACTCAGACAGAGAACAGTGTAGCAGTGCAACCAGATACAACGACCAGGCTCCAAGAAAAACAAAAGCTCTAACTTGGTTACGCTAAGCGTCACTTTTTGGGAGATTACAGCAGATGTTGCGGCACCAGACAGTCGAAACATGAAATATCAGTCTGATCTGACTAATGTTCATCCACTTCAAACAAAGACTGTTTTTACAGTTTTAGACATGAAAAACGTTTTTTTGGTGTTTTGCATTAAACTGTTAATGGGACCATTCGATTAGACTCCATTTAGATCCCCGTCAGACTGAAATGAGGTCAGAGACGCAGACTTACAGTGTAGACGTCCAGGTTTCGTCCCCGCAGCACCACTGTGGCGCTCAGGCCCATGGGAACTAAAGCAGAGCTCTGTAGGTCGTAGACTAGCGGACAGGAAGTAGGACCAGGAGAGTCCTGCAGACAGAGAGGAGGCGGGGTTAGAGACAGGCTGACAGACAAAAAGATGGAGACAGACGGGGCAGCGGGCCGTCTTACTCTGTGGTTGAGGATGATGTGCTGGTTTGGACAGCTGTGGTTGTGAGTGCAGAGTTGATCCAGAGGACACCAGTTACAGCGCCACACACTGCTGACACACGCCAAACACCTGAAACACACACCACGGCCTTCAGCGTCTCCTCCATCACTGATTTAGATTCAGATAAACGTACAGCACTGTCACTGTGCCTACGTGACTTACTGGGAGCTCTGGTTCAGTCGGCTTACAGCCATGCAGTCATAGAAGGTCATGTTGCCCGTTGTGACGGTCACATGACCAAACATCAGTGACACGGGCAGGATCATGTGATCTGCAGGTGAGAGGTGACAGAAGTTACACAGTAGCACACCTGAATGAAGACGTTTTTACTGTCACTGCGTGCTGCACTCGGACTCTGTCACCGGCGCTCAAACTGCTGCGTGCTGTAAAATGCTTCACATGCAGTTAAACCTCCTGATATTTTTGGCAGACTCATTCTGAAACACTGTGTACTGGGACACACTAAATCTGTTTCTGGCATGCTAAGTAGGATGGTATTATGGAGGATTGGAACGCGCCCACAGTTCCTACTCACCGCTTCCTGTGGGCAGAGGTGGGAGGTGCTCCGGGGCAGGGGATTGGCAGGTGATGCTGTTTCCCATGACAATGGCAGGCTGAGGCGGGAGGAGCCCGAAGATGCAGGACAGAGACTCCTCCTTTGCGAGGGCGGGAAGCTGGGGGACCGACAGCGTTACCTGAGAGACGAACACAGAAACACGGTTACTGCTTTTCCATCGGGACGCTTCTCTCTGTCTCTAGAGCAGCTGTGTCTCGTATCAGCAATCCTTCCATTGTCTTACTGTCAAAAAAAGAAACACCCATTGACAGTTTGGGGTCTTTCTATTATTTTTCTTTATTTATATATTTTAGGTTTACAAACGAGAACAAAACCACTTCTGTGCTGGCTGAAAAAGCTCACAGTGTTACTTTTTTCTCCTTCTATTTTAAAAATAAACAACTTTACTTCACATCACAAAATCTTAAAAGGTTCACAACCACGGTTATTGTCTGAATTCATTTCACTCAGACCGCAATAACTCCTATGTTTGCGCTGATCCTTATAAACCCTGTGAAGATACTCGGTGAGGCACTAAATATGAAGATGTTTCGTTCATCCTGTCAGCGCTGCAGCAGTAAACAGCTGCTGCAGATGTTCATCGGCTGCTGTGAATCTTGTCTGAAGGATTGGAACTGGCTGGACTTGCAGTGCCTCTGCAATAACACACAGCCAACACAACAACACAACTGTGTTGAAACAGAATCAGCAACCTTCAGTCAATCAGAGAGCTGCTGAACTAGCACCTCAAGTTTTCTTTCAACCTGGACTGATACAGACACCTGCCAGCAACACCTAAGGGTGCCCTGACCCAGGCTGTCATCACTGCGGGAGTGGCTGACTGCATCATAACGCTGTCAGTCAGAATCAGATCAAAACAACAGCAGCCTACCTGCGTCTGCTCTTCTTTGCTGTGATTGGCCGGCTGCAGGCTCTGCACTGTCACGCACTGACTGGTTGGTTCAAAGCTCCAGAGCCAGTGGTTGGACTGCAGGTGACGCTGACACTGATGTTTCCGGGAACATCTGCACAAAATACAAACATTTGCAGATTAGTAACAGCAACGTCAGAGCGATGTCACATCAACGTGCAGATGCTGCTGTGAGCAAACCAAATCTACTACACTTTCTTCTTCTACTGTCAGTCAGACTTTTTACAAAAAAAGTAAAAAGTTTACATAAAGTTTACAAAAAGATATAAAGAATAAAAATGTACTTTTAAAAAGTTACAAACCACCAGCCGACAGGTAGACCTACCTTCCCTCCAGGACACACCAGCCACAGTACGGGTCTCTGACAGCGAGACAGGAGCGACAGTCTGTCTGTTTCTCACAGGATGACACAGGAACCTTCGACAGCTGGGAGAAAGACAGGAAACAGTTTGTTTTCATTTTTTCTTAAATGAATCGTCTGATTGGATATTGGGGACAAAAGGAGGAAGGAGGAGAGGGAAAAAACTGAAGAAAAGAAAGTGAGACAGGAACTGAGGAAGGAGGTCGACTGTCTCTCACCCTGCTGTTTGTTAAAACATAAACATGTTCCTGGCTCTCATCCAATAGGAGATCAGCGCTGACGGCACTGCCACTGTCCACCAACTCGCTGCCATACAGATGGCCTGACTGATTGGAGATCACCAACACCTGAAAAACAACAACACAGGTGAGTCCACAGATTCCGACACTGTTCTGTTGCTTGGTTTGTGTAACCTCAATCCCTTTCCTCACCTCCTTTCCTTGTGTCCTTTATACCAAACAACAAATTACACATTCTGTTACACACACACATATCAGGTATTCATATCTTGTGGGGACATCTAATTGACATAATGCTTTCCCTAGCCCCTCATCCTAACCATAAAAAATGAATGCCTAACCCTGACCCTAAACCTAACCATAACCCAATTACAATTGTAACCCTGTCACTAAAACAACATTTTGAGTCTCAAAAATGCCTTCAAACTTGTGGGGACCAGGATTTTGGTCCCCACAACCATAGTAAACTACACACTCTCTCTCACACACACACACACGACTGGAGAAAAGCAGAACGCTTGACAGCAGATTTCTAACATAAGGTATGAATACAAAAGAGAATCATTGTCCTCCCGCTATGTCTAATGCTTCTTTTAAACATCACAGGTGAAAAGACATCCACAGAGGGGTACACCTGTGCCTCCTCTAATCACGGTTCCTACAGCAAGCCTCGCGTCTCCAACTTCAGGTACTGACAAACCCCTTAAGATGGCATGACTGACTTCCAGATCAGAGACACGGAGACAGAGAGAAACAGGTTGGCCCTGGTCGGACCCTCCCTGCTGTCAGTACATCTCAGTGAAGGGCGGAAAATTGGCTGATTTCATCCCAGTTTCACTAATTGGCTCCATCCACACCCTGAGATGTTCTGGATCTGTACTAATGCCACTAAAACACAAACACACATCTCTGTGTACTGTTCATTGTTTATTTATTCTGAGTACAACAAAAGAACGCTCTTTCTCTGCTGCACAGTATTTGTCACTGAATGACTTTCCTGCTCGAGCGATGAGACGGGATCCTTTCATGTGGACTCCTGCTGTGCCGACTGTGTGAAGTATTTTGAAAAAGTTAACTCAAGACGGAGAAACTCATGTCAGCAAATATAAAACGTCTAAGAGCTGAAATGTTGTGACAAGTAAAAATGATGATCATCAACATTTAATTTCAGTAAAGTGACAACATGAAAGCAGCAGCGCCTGCTGCCGCTGCGGCAGCAGCAACAACCCGCCAGCAGGTGGAGCTGCTTCACCCCGACAACACCCCTCAAGGCACCTCCACTATCAGCAGCGTGTGACAAAGAGAACAATTCAGACAGTGAAAAATGCAGAAAGGAGGATCGTTTGAGTTTGAACAGACTCGATCCTGCTGTGCCACATCCAGTTTATTTTTTGTCTTTTTTCATTCTTGCTGAGATGGAACAGCAGCATCCTGACAAAGTAGAAACTCTGGAAATCTCTACCATATCTCAGCCACTTCACTCACTGATTGGTCAATTGTGTGCAAGTATAAAGGTATGGCAGGACTTTAGTGTCTCTCTTATCCCTCTGTGTTCAATCTTCACTCAAATACTTTTGTCACATTTCATGTGTACAGCTGTGAGTTTGTGAAACACTGAGTTTTTTAGAAGAATTGAAGTACTGTTACTGCTTTTTCCTGTAGAAATGCGAACCTGTCTCCTGGATTTCACCTAAAGGCATCAGGGTGTAAATCTGAGTTCAGGAGACACTTCTGCACCGCAGACTGCAATAACCTAAAAACACAATGCTTAGTGGAGTTTAATGCTGAGCATTTTCATCATCACCGTCTTCTTCTTTTAAACAGGATGCAATGAGGAAAGGGTTTTTCTGACTGGGAAACTGAGGACATCACAGGTTCATTTATGTTTAACAATTTAAAAAGACAAAGACTATCTTCTCTGACTGTTAAAAGAACCATATTTGTGTTTTAACAGTAGACGGACTAGTTCTTACATACTGCTTATCTACTCAACTTGGGCATTCAAAGCACTTCCTACAGCATTTGTCATTCATCCATTCACACAAGCACTTTCTTCTACACCTGAGTCCTTTCTATCTTACATTCACACACATTCATGCTCCGATGAACGCATCAGAGATCAGCTTGGGGTTCAGTATCCTGCCCAAAGATACTGAGACATGCAGACTACAGCAGCCAGAATTTGAACCACCAACCTTCTGATTAGTAAATGACTTTCTCTACCTCCTGAAGAACAGCCACCCCCAGTCATAATGACCTGAATAACCTGAAACAAGTGAGTGAGCCCACAAAGTCTACAGGGCAAAGGAGCCAGAGCTGCTTTCACATCGATTTCTATATAACTAGAAGTCCTTTTACAAGCAGAGGAGTCAGGAGTCACTGTGCTTCTAGTATACATCCGCACAAAAATTCAAAACAAGTGCGGGGACTCTGCCTTTAGATATGTTAAAGTGCAGGAGGAAAACATGTGCATATGTGTTTCTTTAGTTCGGATAGCCTCGGGTGCCACGCCCACAGAAACACTGCAGGAGCGTCACATGCTGGAGAAACTGGTGCTTGAGCACCTTTCTGATAGATTCACTATTTCACAATCCCAACAGAAGCACAACAGTTAACATGTGCCCGGGTTCGCCGCGAAAAACGTGGTGTTGCACTTGTACATGCCTCTTGTTGTTGATTGGTTATTGGTCCCTCAGGTGCACTCTGGGTAAGGATCCAGCAGGAGGCCCTGAAACATTTACAGTGTGTGTGATTAAATATTAACGGGGAGAATCAAAGCTCTGCTGTTTACCTCGCTGAGGCTCCGAGGCAAGATTAGAGCTCATTAACGCACACACGCACACAAGTTTGTCCTTCTAACTTTGCGAGGACTATGAGTCACACGGTGCATTCCCAGGACCCTTACCCTAAACTTGAACTTGATAAAAACTTCGAAATGAAATGGAAAAAAAATGCCTCTTAAGGTGTCCCGCAGCGAGAACAATTGGGTACAGAATCTCATCACTTTTCAAATGTCCTCTCTAACAATGTGTAAGACTGGGTCCTCATAAGCCACATGTACAAGTACACACACACACACTTACACCCAGTTAAAAGCTTCAGGGGTGTCCTGCTGGATTCTTACCAGACTGCACCTGAGAGACCAATCACCAATCAACAACAAAAGTCTGAGCATGCTCCCATGTGACCCTTCCCACTCTTCCCAAACGCACCACACCCTCGAGCTAAACGCCTGTTAGTCACACACACACACGCATACATAGAGTGTATCATTGTGTTGCTTATAAAGAGCTTCAGGCTACAAGCTGCTCTGTTCAGTGTGTGTGTGTGTGTGTGTGTGTGTGTGTGTGATCATTTTCCTGGTGCTTCTCTTCAGACCTTCCAGTTACAACATAAACAGGAAACAGCTGATTCCTCCCTGTAGCTAGAGATGGAGACACAAACGCCTAAACAGGCCTTTTCACTGCCAAGTAAAAACCACTCTCACCAGCTGGTCTCTTAGCAGCTCCATTAGAGTGGAGGGGTCTGAAGCCTGTTCAATTAAGCATTATTCATATATGCATTTGCTCCCCAAAACTTTTCATGTGAGAGTACAAACGGTTTTATACTACAAGTAACTGTCTGCTAAATTCACAGCAGGGAGATTAAGCATCATGTGTCTTATCGCTCCATGTTCAGCCACAATCTGCACCATTTCAGCTGTTGTGTGGGACATGTGGGAAAGGGTAACTGAGGTCAATGGCCCAACCGACGCCGTCTACTTCATGTGTGAAACGGCTGTAAAACATGTTGGTGGTGTCACCTTTTGCAGTTGTCCCTTTCTATCTCCCAGGAAAGCGATGGTGTGGCCCGCCTCAGTTGCTGTGGTGACAGCGGTCAGCTGTATAGTGGAGTTGACAATGGGCGTGGCTTTGAGGGGCACGGCGCTAGCGATGGGGTTGGGGGTGTGTTCCCCTCCACAGGGGTACTCTGAGAGAGAGACCTGGTAGATGAATAAACAGAGAGAGAGAAGCCAGTGAACACAGGTATGTGGTTAGCCCTGCTTTATCTGTTTACGTCTCTAAACACAAACAAACACAAACAATATTGCTTCCATTCACCAAATACAGGCCATTACCATTTAAAACTCGTGCTTTTTTCCACTCAGCCTGTCACTTTAATCTGTGTGTTTTTGCTCTATGTGGGTCAGCTCTGTGTTACAAGCTCTGTGTTTGAGTGGCAGCTGTCTGATGATAAGTCCAGATGCTGAAGATAACCACTCTAATCCACACACACACTCACTCACACACACATAGTATTAAGGTCAGCAGCGAGGCAGATGACAACCATCGACAGCTTCTTGCCTAAAGCAGCTGCTAATCTGTGATGTCATCACATGTAAAATGTGATGTCATACGATGTTCCACTTGGCCGACCAGGACCTCAGCGATCCGTGGGATCATCTTTGGACTCTCATTGGAACAAGTTTACTGTCCCATTGTTTTCAACTGTCACCCACACTTCTGTACTGCACTCTCATTACTAGCAGTAACTCTAACTCTGTCATCTGCAGTATCTGGAGTTTATATTTGGCTCTATCGCTCTTTGCTTGGACCTACTTCTGAGAGCAGCAGCAAAGACAACAGATTGGTCAACTTTATTAAAAAAAACATGAAATTAAGGATCTGGGGTGGAGGTGGGTTGCAAAGTGACTTGCAGATCAGAGCAACCATTGGGAGGGGAAAAGCAGCTTAAAAAGCATGTCCTATATAAGATTTACCATTTGGACATGTCGAACGGTAAAAATCAGCTGATTACAAATAAGCTCGACTTTGTGGTCTACTTGAACTGAAGCTTTGGCATCGGTTTTGGTTTGGTATCAAATCAACTTTGCCACAAAGTTATTGCATAGAAAACTGAAACCACAGCTTTCATTCGCTTTAGGAGGGGCTACCTCCCCCCCCTTAAAAAAAGAAAAAGAATAATAATGATTTGCAAAATCAAAATACATTATGCATGTATTATGTGCACCAAGCTAGTGAGTGTTCCAGGTAAGGAGGTTACTCACAGCCAGTAATGGTAAGTGTTAAATCTACATTAGTGCTTTCTATCCAGCATTCATTCTCCGACGGATGCATCGAAGAGTATCGATTTAGTATCTTGCCCAAGGATATTTGGTATGAACACCACCAACCTTCTGATTAGTAGATGACCTGCTCTACCTCCTGAGCTACAGCCACCCCCAGTGCCAATGCTGGGTGCAACATGTTACTGGTACCACATTATATTTTTCAGTCATGCAGTAATGTAATGAGTTACTGTACAAAATTCAGTAGTTACACTACAGTTGCAATTATGTCATTACTTGCATTACAAAGGTTCTTTAGTTCTGTGCACACTGAGCAGATAGAAAGAAAAAAACATTCACTTTTTCTTCTGCACCCCTACGCAAAAAACAAACACCTCGCTTTGATTGTGTACAAGGAGGAGGGAAATGGTTTAGTGGTCAACAACATTTGTTGAGTGGTGATATGGAAATCGCTTTTATTACAAGAGCATGATTATATAAAGTGCAAACTGTGTCCAGGACAAAAAATGACAGTGTTATACCGCTAACATCGACTCTTTGTGAGCATCTGCACAGACAGCATGCTAATACAGAGCTAACGAAGAAGCCAGTGTGATGTTAAAGCTGAGTGTATGCTGACCCCAGGCCTGCATCCAGAGCCTGAGCTTCAACAGGTAACAAAGGCAGCGATTAAGTGACGCAGCCTCCACTCCTGTTCATGTTTCTACAGCAAAATCATTGTGACAATGACTTTGAAGTCTCATTGAGCTGGTTTCAAACTTTGCTTTGTTATGTCGGCTTTGTGTTCTTACATAGCCTCAGGTTTACATTGTGTTTCAGGTCACGTTACAGAGTAGCAAGAAAGTAACGTAATGAGTACTTTCTCTGGGGACAAATTCATAGATTACTTTATTAATCACCCCAACACTGCTGAGGTGTTTGTGAGTTTACCTTCGGCAGTTTGAGACATTTTGATGACACGCCGTACTCGATGTAGGCCTCCTCCTTTCCACCGCTGCCTTGTCCTCCCTCTGTGTAACACACTTCCTGTGCTCTCCGCAACATTGTGTCTAACTCCGCCATGCCATAAATGCAGAGAGCTGAACGATTTGTTGCTACGGGCGTGGACGCCTGCCCCGCTGCCATGACGACAAACAGGTGAGGTTCACCTGAGTGGTTGCCTAACCATGCACCCTGTGCCAGGTTATACCCACCCTGGCACAGCAGCGGCACCTCAACGTACGAGTAGAAGCTACGATCAGAGATGCAGAGCCTGGAGGCATAAGTCCGGTACTCCTTCTTGTGCCGCCGTGAGAACAGGAAGTAGACATGGTTGCCATGGACAACAGCCTTCACAAAGTGGTTGTTGTAATCGGAGTAACTTCCTACAACAAGTTTTCCAAGCTCCTCCTCCTGAGAGAACGCTCTGCGGGGTGGAACCACTGGAGACAGCCGCCGTGTCGTGATTGGTGGGATGTCGCCAGGGCCTTTGCTAGTGTAGCTTCGACCAACCAGCATCAGACGCAGCACGTCACCATCCCCACCCCCTTCCTGCTTATTTTTCGTGGTTATTACCACGGCAACAGTGGAGACACCTGGAGCGTTGGCTGCGACGTACTGAGTGTCAACGGGATTGGACGTCTGATAGATGAGCTGAGAAATATTGGACAGACTCCTGCAGAGAAAGACAGGACAGAAAAGTCATTCTTCATACGTGTTTTGGCTGATCCAGACATCAGTCACCGTTGATACATGCAAAGAACAGATACAGTGTGAGAAAAATGTATTTGGATAAACTCTGGGAACACAGTGAGGAAAACTAGCACAGTAAACTGACGTACCTCTTTTCACAGATTCCCTGGAACAGTGATCCACAGACTATCAGACTCCCTGGCTCCGCCCCCTGCCCCGTCTCCATCAGCAGCAGTTTGTTGTAGTTGTCGGTGTCCTTGGCTGATGGACATTCCTGGAGCACGATTGGTGGGAGGCACTCTGGGGAATCCCGGTAAGGGCCGGTCTTTACGTGCAACAACACCTCAAGGTCAGTGGTCAGCTGGTACAGATTATTGACCCCGCCCACATAAATATGTCCCGCTCCAGGATCCAGGAGCAGGTGCGACAGGGGGGCGCCCTTCAACTCCACATGTTTCGAGGCATCCACAGGTTGGGAGAAAGGGGAGAGGATGTGGAGGAAGAGGAGGAGTGACGGGGGGATGGAGGAGGCCAACATGGCAGCTCCTCTTTACCTGAAACAGATTAAAGTTCAGGAGAATTAAAACTTGTGAAAAGGAGCTGCTTATGATTATTCACTGGTCAGCAGGCCCACTTGCAGTTAATCTCACTGCCCGCTGGTCAAAAACAGACAAAACTTGTTTTTCTTGTTTTATCTGTCCAAACCCTAAAGATATTCCCTTTACGGGGCGATCTGGTGGAAAAAAGGAAATGAAATAAAACCCTCCGAGAAACTGAAACAAGACAATATTGTAGATTTTTGAATTGTGCAGAAACTGACCCCAGATCTGAACTTCACTGTAAAATTTGAAATCCACTAAAGAATGTCTTCTTGGCTTCACCGTCCGCCCACAGAAAGTCAGCGGTCTGTCTGAATACAAAACTCAAAGCTGTGATTGCATCTTATTTCCACTTTCTCCCCTGCAGCAGAAAACCTCGCCCGAGTTTCAGAGCAGAACTGAACCATGACTGTCTCAGATTAAGGTGGAGAAACACGGATCTATTTCATACCCCAAAAAGAAAAAGAAAAATCTTAAATATGTAAAATACACCTGAGCAGGTGAGGCTCAGCCCTGCAGACTCGCTGCACCGTTTCTCTTTCTCTCTCTGAAGTTATTAATAAAATATTTTTGCTGCTTCACACTTTTCATCTGGCGGTCAAACTGTAGTTGCCTGTAGTAACATCACCATGGCAACAAACCGGTATCCACGGCAACGCTGTGAAACGACTCAAACCTCTGGTGGGTTGTTTGGTTTTTATGACAGAGTGGAGTTTTAAACTGGTGTCAAACTGGTTTCAATCTTGCGGGTCCTTCTGTGTCTTCAGGTTGCATCACTCTGTCAAAGTGTAAAATATTCCTGTTAAATAATCACGGCTCAGACCTCATTCCTCTTCTCCTGAGGATAAATCCACGATCTTTCCTCCAGCTCTCCCACTACTGCTACAAACAGCCTCCGCCTTCACTTCACCTGAAACAAGCTGATTTACTATACAGCCGAAACGAGGAGAAAGATTCACTATTTAAAGATGAAATTTCAAGCAGCACAAAAAGTGTTCTTCCAATGCTGAACATTCAAACGGTTTTATTCACAGGCCGCCTACAACAGACACGGTCAGCAATTAGTTAGCTGTTATGGGGTTTGTTTTGTGGAAGGCAGAAGTAACCATATACTGATGAGGGTGGAGTACTACGTTATCAGCCTTCGTAGACTGCAGGGGTGACTGGCACTAACACAAAACCTGCTAATTAGTGCTGATGATACTTTTGTTATTCCATCTGTAGTCATCTCTAATTGGTTGTGTGGCTTTAAATGGAAAGCCACAAGGCAGTGAGAGTAGCACCACCTACTCACAGAGCAGAGCATGTATTATTACAATGGCTGTGTTATTGATAAAGTCAAAGATAGCATGAATGGCCTGAAACAAGCTGGGGGTGGAGGTGAGGTTGCAAAGTGGCATGCAGAGGTACCAGTAACCTTATGTTGAACAGCTTAAATATAATGTTATGTATAAGATTTACCAACAGGATGTACAGAGGGGTTTCAGGCGACATCAGCTGGCACTGAATTATGCATCTCTGCCAAATTTGCATGAATTTGGCTCCATGGCTGTGATACAATTTTAACTTTTGATATTAGTCATATCGTTTATAAGATAATTACATTAAATGACTCTAATAGTGTCATTTATGCTTAGCTTATGCATGTATGTGTGTACATGTTTAGACATCTTTGTGAGGACAGAAACTACTATACTTGTGGGGACCAACAGTCAGTTATGGGGACAAAAATGTCCATCCCCAGGAGTTTGACGGCATTTTTGAGGCTCAAAATGTGGTTTTAGTGTCAGGGTTACAATTAGGTTATGGTTAGGTTTAGGCTGAGGGTTAGGGTTAGGCATTCATTATTGATGGTTAGGGTTAGGGTAAGGACCTAGGGAAAGCACTATGTCAATGAGATGTCCTCACTAAGATATGAAAACGAGTGTGTGTGTGTGTGTGTGTGTGTGTGTGTGTGTGTGTGTGTGTGTGTGTGTGTGTGTGTGTGTGTCATTATTAAGGGATAAAGCAGGTTTATTTGTACTGTAAATCTGGGCATTTTAACACAGGAGTCTATGGGGGCTGACTCGCTTTTTGAGCCAGCCTCAAGAGGCCATTTGCACTACAGTTTTTGGCGCTTCTACTTGGACTTCATATCTCTGTCCCAAGTGGTTGCCACATGGTTCTATCCAGTATGTGTTGGAAAACACGCCTGTTTAGATACTCAAAATATGGAGAGAATGCACACAAACAGCTTAGCTTGTCCATCGGTGTAATAATGTGTAAACATTTTCAGTTCAGATATAATCTGTTTTGATTTTCATTTTTACCTTATAAAGAGAAGCCCAGGGTTTTTCTTTGACTGGTATTTTCAGATAGTGGGGCCAAAAAAACTCCCAAAACTCGAGCAGAACCATGCGCAGGAGGAACTGTTTGGAAACATTTTTGCAAATCTGTATATTTTTTGCTTAAAGACAACATCAAATAATCCTGGCAAATATCCAGTCTTTCAAACAACCATCAGGTCTAAATCAAACCGCAGCAGTTAGAAAAGCCAAATTCTATCCATGACATAAACTCACAGTTATGACATTCGATCATCAAACTCCCAATAAAATGGTTTTTAATCTCCTTTTTTTAACAAAGGTCAGTCAGATTAATCTTGAGCACTAATGTGGTCAAAGGTTTTACCACAAGCCTCAGAATTTCCTCGGAACGCTTTCAATCAGTCGTCTTTTTCTCGACAGCAAAACAGATCTTTAACTCACATTTCCACACAAACAGCCAGCGCATATCCTCTTTTTAACAATATTCCCAGTTCGGTAACAAAGAGGACTTTCTTTTGCTTTCTCGACACGTCAAAACAGCCACACATCAGATCTGATTCAGCTTCATGCAAATCAGAGGAAGAAAAACTCATTTACATCTGTAGTCTCAGAAAATACCACAAACTGTGGGTTTTACTGTGCTGTGGCGTGCCTCTGATTAGAGCCTGGGACCTCCAAACCAAAAAATAAATCATCAGGATTTTTCCTCTTAATCCAGCTGGAGCCTGAGGGAGACAATACACCAGGCGTGCACCGATTGTGAAATTCTGGGTCAGTACTGTTTGCAATTTTCAAAATAAAAATCTGCATCCTAGTATATACATATACATATAACACTCAGAGGGTGATTTCAAACAGAAAGCCAAACATTAAGCCCCGATTAACACTGATTAACAGTATTGTTAATACATCACATGTGATGACATCACATAAAAGAAGGTCTATGAAACATGAATTAAGAAGTTGTTTAAAGGAGGAGGTTACTGATTTCATCAGTCGTATCTCCTCAGGCAGGTTGTTCTAAAATCGAGGGCCCTGATAGCAAAAGCACAGTCACCACCCAGGAGGATCGACATATCTGGTATGTATCTCAGGCTCAGACTCAGATGTACTTTTAAAGGGATCAGCAAAATCTTACAAGTTGACTCTATAAGCTTACAGATAGTCAAAGCACAGAAGTCAGGACTGGGGTGAAGCTCTGCAGTCCACCAAAACCAATAAAACCCCAGCTGTTGCATTTTGAATGAGCCAGAGGCGAGAGAGTAACCTTGTGTTTATACGAGTGTGGACAGAGTTGCAGTAGCCAAGCCTGGAGAAAACAAACATGGGGATGACTTTTTCCAGGTATGACAGTGAAAGCTGTGATTTAATTGAAACAAGACCAGGCGGCTTCTTTGATGTGTGCCTCAAAGCTGAATCAACTTGTGCTCACAAGATCCTGGCAATGGGCTTCACTTATGTGGACCAGGGTCAGGGTAATGGTCGCAGGGCGCAGGTAAAGTTGAGTTGGAAAAAAAAAAGAGACTAACATGGTGGGAAACAGCAATTAGGCTCTTAAGGTCACCGAAACTCATGGGAAGGTACACTGCATGGACAAACCTACTGGGTCACCTACACATTACACCTCACCACCATAGAAACCCAGCCATGAAGCTCCTGGTGTGTAGTTTTTGTGCAGCTCAGCACTTGGTAACAACACTCTTTAACTTTTCTGCTGAATTGCTGTGCTTCTTAAACACTTTCCACGTTCGAGTTCAGTGACCTGTTAAAAGTGACTCATTGTAAAGGCAATCGGCATGGCTTGGTGCTTGACTTTATACACCTGTGGATATGAGGCTGAAAACATTTTAGTCCACATATCTGTATGTTGTGAGAGTAGCGAAGAAAAAAGATTTAAGATTTAGCTGAATGGAAATGAAATTGAAATTAAATAAAAATAGGACCTAGAATTGAACCTTGCGGTACACCACGGTTAGTGTGAACAGCAGCTTAAACACAGCAGCTTTAATGCGTTTTGTGCCCACCAAAGGACAAACTACAATGTGAACTTCAAGGCCATTTTAAGACACGTTTAACAGCTTCTCCTTCATCCCTTTATCAGATACCTTAATTCAATCACACAAACAGTCTCACTGAATCTGGTTCATACCCAGTGCTTTATAGCAGTGGGCCATGTTTCCATCACTGATACTTGGTGCCATTTGCTTGGCACCATGTGAGTATAAGTCAAGTTATTCACTCGTAGTAAGCCATAAAAGAGGTGGCTTTATGTGTCAACTGACAAGGTTTTTTCTCTCTCTCTCTTTCATTTGGTTTTAGGTCCTGTGCAAAGGTGGTTAGTTGTGGTTGTAATCGGTGCTCCTGTATAAGAAACACCTCAATGTCAAGCGGGGCCTTTGATGTGCCACAGTCTTATAACCATCCCACAGCTACACAGACACTTTTTACAAATACACTGAGACACTCAGGTAAGGTGAACATAGCTGTAGGGAACACACGACCGAGGTAACGAGGCTGGGAAAGTAAAACTGAATACTAAATACAGAGACAAAGGCTACCAAAATAAAACAGGAAATAACATTACAGGAACAGCTAACACAGAGACGAAGGCTAGACAGGGTACTAGGGAACATGCGGGAGGCGGACCAC